GACGAGGATAAGCTACGCACTCCCGCAGAACAAAATTGAAGGGAGGCGAGGTACATTCAAACATCAGGGGTCGCCAACGGACACGCTGGGATGAGGAAGGGTGTACATTACGGGGAGCCGTGGGCATAACGGATGCACGACAAGAAACACGCAAGCATCCAACATCATCGCAGGCAGAGAGAAAGAGGCAGAAAGAGAGGCACGATTTTTGGAAAGGACGAGACACATGACATACCTTGTCAACACGGTTTAGGTGTCCGCCAAGGCTTTGTAGCCAGCGTAGTCATCATCAGGACCATCGCTTTTCTCGCTCGCAGACGAAGAACATCCTCGTCTCCATCTTTTCTTTACCCTCCACCCCCATCCGCCCCTCGGTCACCTCCTCCATCCCTGCCCCCTCGTCTGCGAACAAGCACGGCTTGAGGTAGCGCTTAGCGTCGTCCTGACGATCAATAATCTCGGTGGAGAGGATCGGTCCAACGCATTCCAAGCCGAACCGCATGAAGCTCTCCTAGAACCTGAGACACGAAACAAAGAACAAAGAGCGGTTTGTGTGAATGCCAGTTTTTTTGACGTCATGGGTTCATACATAATAGCTTGCGACAGACCACCAACGCGTCGACTGCCTAGGAGCAACGCCAGGGCACACTGAAAATGTGGGAAAATGACTAAAACGCTGGAAACGCGTCAGGAACAAAACAAACGAGAGTGTTGGGCGTTCAGCAGAGCTTGCACGTCCAATGAGCCCTTATCGGCCTGACAAATTGCCGACAGTACAACAGGGGAGACAGGGCTAGAAGAATAAGCTAACTACAACAACCTTCAGCCCCATAGAGCTTAGTTCACACATCGAAACTAAAGCAACGTACATGTCGCTGATGACTTCCAAGTTTTTTCACCGCCGCCGCTCTTCGCAGCAAAAGCCTTGTCTAAAAGAGCCATGCACATGGTCAAGGTACGGCAATACCGTCGTGGTGGGGGTCGCTCTTGTTGCCGAAGTGTAGCCTGGAGTGCCCACCTTCTTCCTGATATCCGTGAGGACGTACTGCTCGAGCATCTTCGAACGACGCCAATCCATGCTGTGAGAGTAGGGGGGGAGTGGTGCTTAGCGGGCAAGAGGCTGGATGGATGGATGCACCAGAGCAAGGGTGACAGTAGATGGCCTGGAATTTGCGCCGAAACAGCCCGCAGGAGGGCGAACAGGACGTCAGCAGCAGCTATCATCGCTGTAAAAACGTAAATGGGGAATAAAAATTTCAAGCGTCATTACCACAGGGAAGCGGCGTCAACATTTCAAGGACAACACTCTTCGTTCCTGGCGCTGTTGCTGGCATCATGAGATGTTGGCTAGTTGCACAGTATCGGTTCACCTTGCGCCGCCTTTCTGTCGTGCACTGAATAGGCTAAAGCTACAACATGTGAGACCCTCAAATCAACAGCAGTACCGGTGCGCGTGCGTCCAAATTCTCAACTCCTTCCACAAGCGATGCATCGCGAGGGATGGTTGCCTGTACTTCCCCCCGTTCCTTCCCTCTACTGTATGCATACGCTTTGTTTCGTTGAGTCTCACAGAGGAACAAATGAGCAGCTCTCGAAAGAAGGTATTCCAGCGTTCCTTCCGTTCACAGTCAAATAGGAGCGAATTCACTCAAAACGTGCGCGGAGTTATGCCGGAGTGATCGACGATGTTGTGCACGACTCCGACAGCAGGTGCGGTAGCAGGCCTTCATCGGTTCTCGGTGGACAGAGGTGTCGGGAGTAGGTACATGAACTTTCCATGATACTTCGTTTGTTTGTCAAATCACAAAATCTCGCATATACTGCCGAGAACCCACTTGTTAACCCAACCATACCTGAGCAATGGGGTGGTGCGCTTGCGTCGGTGGACCTGATCGAAGGTCACGCTCTGCATGGCCTCGTCCTCTGACATGGGAATGCCGTGGTTGGGTGGCCCTAGTATCTTCGAGAACATGACCGTACCAAACCCACTCATGGCGGTATCCGCCTACAAAGTACGATACAAAGAAAGGGCGAGGGGGGAGTGGGTGAGACGCAATATATATATATATATATTTTTTTTTTTCTCCCATCATTGGACTCTGTCGTCTGCCCCTCTGGCCCCTATCCTCCACTTCTAC